ACGATATTATAATTATAACATTTTAAATCAGAAAAATAAACACGTAACGGTATAAGCTGAAAAGAAACTAACATCGCTTTCTCTAATGTCTGCTGTCAGACATGGCAAAACTCAACTCTACCTGATAAACCGACCTAAATTATTCATTATAATATAGGGGTCAAAGGTGATTGGACTATCTCTGATGTGTGAACCAGTTTGACTTGCAACTCGAGTTGTATAGGATCACAAGCAGCTAACTTAGTACAAACGGCTAGTTAACAGATCAACATCTCTAACCTGTGAACCTGTTTGATGTAACTCGTTTGATTCTAACAGTAACCCGGCCTGTTCCATCCGTTTGACATCTCTGTCTACTGCAAGCAACATGGAGCACGTCGAGGAGAGCAAGATTATTACTCAATGCAAGGTAGATGCTGGACTATGGCTAAGTTTGAGGAGCCTGGATTGTCTGCTAAGTTGCTTAACTATTCAGGTTTGGTTGTTTATGCTCCATTCCTGAAGAATAGATAACTGCTTATCTTGCCAAAATCCAAAGGGGTGGTCTCATATCAGCCATTTGGGTTGTTTGCTTGCTTGCCATTGAAGAACCCACATTGTTCATAGGTATTGGTGAGAACCTGTGTGAATATGTGCATTCTATAGTCAGATCTTACTAGTAACATTTCTCTATTTTTAACATGAAATACAGATGCAAACTGCAATGCATGGATGCTGGAATTTGCCAATCCTGTGCTTGCAGCTTCATGTTCATCTCAGTTAATAATTAGATACTATAACTTGATACATAGCTTGATGCTGTTAACAAAACACTGGAATACCCAAAGAAATTACAAGGAATGCATTTCATGCTGAATCTAATGTTGACAAGTGCCCGCATTTCGGGAATCCAAAAATAGGTATACGATTGATCGACATGGAAATCTTATCTGTTAAACTGTACAATTTTTGGTAACTGATGTCAATATCCAATATTTTCTTCAGAAGGATCATCTATACTTGAGACCATAGCCCCCAAAAATTATGCCAACTTCCGGGACCCATCAAACCCAAAAAAGAGTCAAAAAAGACCCAAAAACAGAGAAGTAAACAGTGCATTCCACGGCAGAAGTAAAATTCACTTTGCATGTGAGCTTCTCCTCGTCCTCCTTCCATCCTCAAATCACAAGACGCCAATCTGTGCATTAAAAAAAAGAAAAAGAAAAAAACAGAAGAGCTCCTACACAGCTGCTTTGAGAAGCTTCGTAAGACTATGCAAAATCTGCATCCTGTTACACTTGGTTCCTCCATCCTAAGTTTATACAATTGAATATATATACGCGTTAGTTAGCGCCTGAAGCCCCCGTTTCAATATGATGTTAGCTACTACCCTCTGGCTTCTCGTCAGTATCCTCCTTTTCACTGATTTCCAGAAGATCCATTGAGTTTGACCCATTTGGGTGGTGAACTATATTCAAACCAGAGTTAATGCGTTCCTGGATGAACTGCATCAAGATGAAAGTATGAGCATATTAATAAAGCCTTTGCCACACACCATAGGCCAACTCATAGAGATGGCCATTGGATATTTCCATTACATTAACAAAGGCAGAGAAAATAAAGCTGCATGTGGCAGAATTCCAGTAAAAAACAAATAAAACAAACAAAATGTGACAAATAGTAGAAATAGAATACAAAATTTACGGACACCTTTTACCGAAACTCAGCTCAAAGCTATAGCTCCAAACTACAAGTTACCTGGTCACTACCCTCTTGGCCCTCTGAATGAAAGACAATTGGGCGGCAGCGCTTATCTTCATTCATCAAGCTTGAATTTTGGAAATGGGTCACGAGGGCTGCCTTTCCCTGTATTCGAGCATATGCCAAAGAGGCAACTTTCTCACTATTGAACTTCTCCCACTTCTTCCCATTAAAGGCCTGAATAAGATCATAAACATCTATAGATGTAAAGAAAATTTTCAAGCCTCTGTTTACAATATCCCCTTCTCTTTTAAAATAATAAATAACCAAAAAAGAAGGTAAGAGGATAACGGGGAAAAAAAAAAAGGAATAATATAACAAAAGCAAGGTGAAGTCAACTGTGAAAATGCACCTAAGACATGCAGGGATAGTAACCAAAAATGTAGAAAATTACCTCATAAAATGGAATAATGAGCGAAGGAGACAGCATATTGATAAATGCATAGCCCACATTGCACTTGTTCTGCACCACAAGTGGAAATACATCATTTGTAAAAGAGATTGTAGAAACTGTCTCTGAGAGGATTAGAACAATTACCTTGAAATCAATAGGCAAATAGAGAAAATCATAGGTCCCTAGGTGATTTTCATCAATGGCAGCTAGCAACATCTTTGAGGTGTATCTAAGGATCAAAGTGAAATAGAACTTATCAAGAGTGGGCTTAGAGTAAATATATTACTTCATAATCACAATCACATGTTATAGAGGTCAGCCTTACTTATTTGGGATATTTTTTATCATCAAGGTTGTCCGAGTATCTTCACCGCTAATAATTTTATCCAAGTCTAGCTGAAATTGCTTCTTGTTATCTACTTGGTTGCTATTATTCTCTACCCTCCTGCTCCATCCACGCTCGTTGAAAGCTTCCATGCTGGTGGGAATCAGTCCAGAATATGGACCATTTCCCAAGAGCACAGGACTCAGCCTTGGCGACGACATCATTCTCATACTCGATGAACCATTTTCAGAGACATTTCTTGGAATACTAATGCCAGAATTAATAGCAGCATGTGCAGCCATATTCAGCATAAAACCTTTCTCATTGTGGCTGATCCCCATCCCTCCAAAACCAACGGGATTCATGAATGAATTATCTGGTGGGTCAGGGAAGAAACCAAAGTGCCTCTCCAAAGGAACACGAGATGGAGCAGATTCAACATGATGGTGGGGCTGGGATGAGCTAAGCAGAGATCCCTGAAAACCTGAGTAAGGAAGGCCACGTGCCTTCCCACTTGATGTGAATGGATGCCCCAAAGAAGATGTTGACCAGCCTGAAGAGGTGGTAGGTTCAGAATATTGAGTAGGACTTCCCCAGAGAAACTGTGGCCCAGACAGTGTTTCCATACCAGAACCATTTGAAGTTGGTTGACCAAAAGTAGGCATAGTTCCTGAAAAGCTGCTCAACTTTGGATCTGGAAATGAATGAGATTGTTGAGTGGTAGTTCCATGGATTGAATTTGAATTGGTAAATGCATGCTCCACAAGACTACCCCTTCCTTGGTCCTTGCCAATAGGTGCAGCTTGCAAAGAGTTCGACACTTGAGAATGCAGAATTGAAGCCAGCCCAGATATATGGTTGCTTGTTGTTGGGCTCATGCCCCTAAAACCAGGGGACTTACTGATAGGATGCAGAAGATTATGTTCAATAGGGCTGTTTAACTGCAGCCAATTACCTGTCATGAATACGTGACAACCTCAGCTTACAAGAGATATTGCACATGGGATCAAACCAGGTAATACAGAAATGATTCAATTAATCTCAAGGAATAACCCACCTGGTGGAGAATTGGCTATTGGTGAACCAACTTGATGTCTAAAGCCATGCGATTCATCTTGTTCAAGCTCTTGATTCAGTTGCAACATCAAGCTACAAAATATAAGGAATGACTAGTCAAAGGTATTCATCATCAGTAATTCAGTATCAGCCAATAAATAAAAAACAAGAGCAGAGCACCTGCAATGACCCAAAAAAGAGACTAAGAAATTTTAACTGCTTTTTTTTTCTTTCTTTCTTGAAAAGAATGGCATAAACTATAGAAAATGGTATTGACTTCTTGGCTAGCAATGAGTGATGCAAATATATAAATAAAAGATCTACACTTCCAACATAAAAGTTAAAGAACCATACAATGAAGGATAGTTATCCTTCACATGTAGAATAACATTCTATAAAATTAGAAGATTACTAGTCGCCTTTATTCTTTAAAGGCATAGAATAAGTGAATAACACAAGAATAAAGTGCAAGATATACGTACTTGCGTCTAGCTCCACCTGGGCGACTAGGTTCAAGCTTTATGCGTTTACCAGCTATGTCACTCCTATTCAATGACTTAAGAGCTGTTTCGGCAGCTCTAACATCATAAAATTCTATAAACTTATGATGCCTCTTGTGTGGTGTTTCCCTTATCTGCTTTTACAACAGAGATAGTAACATTGAAGATATATTAACGGTGACTTCAGAAATGCATGAAGCAAAAAAAGAAAAGAAAAATATATCACCTCTTTAACCTCGCCATAAGCCCCAAATATTTGACGGAGGTCCTCATTTGAAACTGATGGATCCAAATTAAAAACTACCAGAGTTCCTTGATTAATATCTTTCTCTGATGGATTATCCTGGTGAAACATGCAACAAGTAAAGATAAGAATATATCAACAGTAATGATTCTCTCAACAGTAGAAAAAACAACTATGAATAACTAGAATAGGTTTCCAACCTTGGGAATGGAGAAGTGAATGTCAAGTTTCCTCCGTCGCAGTGGTTTGTTCTGTAACGCTCGCATAGCAGTTCGTGCAGCACGGATGTCATAATAAGATATCATCACAAAGCCCCTATGTTTAGATGCAGTATACACGGTTCGAATATCACCATATTGCTGCCCAAAGAAATGTATAAAAATGATTGAAGAACATTAGTCCTAAGATTTAAATAATAAATCAAAGTCCCTTGAAATAATACTCCAAACTGAAAAATAATACTCCAAACTGAAATAAGTTAAGCGCAATAGTTTACTAGTTGATTATGGGACACTAACATATAACATGGAGTATCTAAAAGTCTGTGCCTTAAAGTCAGGATGATCCAAACATATCCCTGGAATCATATGTTTGGAATCATATGTTACTCTTTGGCTTTAAAAGACAATAACACTGAGAGGTGGGTGCACAGGGATGGCAGAAGGGGACCATTGCCGCCGAGCCACTGGTTTCCAGAAGCATGATGCAGCACCGCACAAATATCAAGGAAAATAAGTTCAAACCCATACCAAATTACAACGTATGCCAAAATGTTTGAACAAAGCTATATCCTATTCCTAATGCCATGGTCATCACTCTTTAAGGCCAAAGCTCTGCCAACTTTTTTTTTGCAGCTAAGCACATCCTAGCAATCCAAAGCAGAACCAAAACCATTTAGCTATAAAAAGCTTAACAAAAACAAGACTCTACTCTAGAAATTAAACCCACTTGAGGTGAATTATTGAAGTCTCATAAAGAATATGCAAGTATCTAAGATAATCAAGAATAAGTCAACCGAAACCTCAATTCATCAACCATATAGATCCATGAATTATGATCTAAATCAGCATAATAAAATCCAATCAATCACCAATCGACATTTTGCAACTCAAGTAACCACAGGACTGATTAACTTTAGAAATCAGTTACCTCAAATAGAGCTCTTAGTTCTGAATCCTCAACATTGCTATTGATATTCCGAACAAATAAAGTCCTTGAAGGATGTTCACCATATGGATGCTCCCCAGCTATGGGTCCAACACCATTTGGAAGACTGTAATGAGGCATCCCATTTGTAACAATAGCATCAGATAGACTGATTTTTGACATACCCAGACTCAGGCTCTCCTGTGGATCATTATCCAACTCCATACCCCCACCACTACCAAAAAGATCACCATCTTCCAAGTCCTCCAGTGAATTGGGCAACCTGCTTAGGTCAAAGTCATCCATTATGCCAGCTAAAAGCTCATTTTCATCATCAGGAAGCAAGATTCCTGGTGTATGGGTTTCAACATCTTCAAGTGGATCATTGCTCTCCAAATTGTGATGAAGCTTATCTAAACCAGATGAGAGGCCAAGAGATTGATAATCATTTTCAGTATCATTCAAATTCACTGCATGGATGCATAAGCAAGTAAGAATACTCATAATACTACAATAAAATATTTACATATTATATAAATAAAATTAAAATCATCTGAGGCATACACTTTTTATGAGGAAGAACTGGTAAGGAACTAGAGAATAGGCTAGCATCACTTGACGCTTGGTAGGAGTCAGGACCAAATACAGTCCCCCTCACACGACTTCCCACTTCTTTAGGTGCATTTTCCAGTGGAATCTTAACCAAACCTATGAACATAATTGAGAGGACTTGTTAATGCATCAACACACTTCTCTTATCAGCAACAGAGGAAAAGATTCTGACGGTACCTGAGTCTAAACTGTCAAAAGACTGCTTCATTGCACCACTTTTCTGCTAAGAACAAGAAAGCCAAAGTGACAGCCGCTTTTAATTGATGCTAAGTGATATAATAAGAAATGTTGAAGAAAAATAAATAACACATGCCAAAGAAAAAAAAAAAAGGGGGAGATTTTAGTACTGAAATTGCAACGTTGCAAGTGACAAACAACATTATTGCTGTTAGGTAAATAACAGAAAGTCCAATAACAGAAAGTCCAATACGATTCAACTAAAAATATGCAGGTTGAACGTGTACTTGACACATCCGATTAACACGTGGAAGATGCTTTAAGAATACAAAATTGGCAAGTTCATATTTTTAAATATCTCATTGATTTCCAAGCAAAAGTCATGACAAACTGAAAATAAATTCCATTCAGAACTCTAGCTTCTATTTCATTTATTAATATTCCTTCCACAGGTAGGAAAAACAATTATGTTGGGAAACTAAACCGTTAATCCATTATTACCAAAGTCACTAAACTGAAGTTGCAAGAAAGTATATTGGCTGAAACCATTGAGTTCATAAAAACACTCTGCATGGCAAAAAGTTAGGCACTCATTCTTACATCAGCAACCCAAAAACAGCAAACCTGCACACTCGTAGAATATGATAAATAGCTCATAAAATTCAAAACTCTCCCGTAAAAGAACTTATCAAAAGTTATACTCCACACTCCTACCCTGCAATCCTGCACAGGGTCATGAGCATTTGCATTGGTTTTGGAACCAATTTCAAATACAATTCAATTTCGGCTCCCAAAACTCAGAAATTCTATTTTATCCATCTGAAACCAACCATCATATTTAGGTTCCAATTCCAAATTATCAGACAGCAATAAGAAAAAGATGGGACTGATTGATGTCCCGGCCAGAGACTAAAAACCCTACAAGGAGACATAACTTCATCGCGTGCAAAATCAACATATCAGGCTAAAGAGGTGTTAATTAGAAAATTGCTAGTCCAGAAGATGGAAACAATAAACTACAGCCATGCAAAAACATAAAAGATTGTATCTTGGGTGGCTTTATCCCAAAAAGATAGAGACTTTGTCACTAAAATACATGATAGCAATCAGCTGAAAGCAGAAATAGCACCCCCAATCACAAAATCAAGTGAAGATTAAAATTTGAAGACAAAGAAAAGAACCCAGAAAAATGCAAGACTGTAAAGCAAGAGAATTGTACAGTAATGAATAAACCCAGAATCAAGAACACAAGAAAAGAAGATGAGAATCACTTGAATGGCTTACCTCGAGAGTGACTAGACGACAGGTAAAAAAAGCACTGTGTCCACGATCACACATACACAACCAGAGACGAAGAGACGCGAAGAGAGACGATTCGTACTAAAATAAACAAGTGCCGCTTTCTCTCTTCAG